CTGCGGGACTCCCCGCCCTCTTCCCTATCCCGCTCATGGAGCCCCGGCCGCCTGTGAGCCCGGAACGCCGGGGGCCCCGAGTTATAGTTGAGGGCACTGGATGTCAGAAAGTTGAGCCCCTTGTTCAGGGGTCAGAGCTGTCAATTATCTGCCTCGGCTTCCGTCCGCTGGCTCAGTGATTCCGAGGGCGAATCGCACGCGGGGTTTGGGAGAATCAGATTCCAGAGCCCTCCCCTGCAAAGTTCTTATTTGGACATCTTGGGGACGGGGCTCTGGAAGCAGTATCCAACCTGCTCTGTGGTAGTTATGGCCACACTTGGGACTAGCTCTTCCTCTGACTCCCAGTGTGGTTGCTGGCCAGAGATCTGTGGGTCTTGCCCCTTCCGGACCTCTCCCCAGACCCTTCTTCTCTCCTCAGGATGACCAGCTCCTCGATGATGGCAAAACTCTGGGCGAATGTGGCTTCACCAGCCAGACAGCACGGCCACAGGCCCCAGCCACAGTGGGGCTGGCCTTCAGGGCAGGTAAGGACTGGACTGGGTGGCAGCTGGGCAGGCTGATAATGGCCATAGAAAAGGGTCTTCTGGGGAGCTGAAGTTGATTTTACAGGCCTTTGCTTTCCAATCCACAAAGGGTAGGAACTATCTGACAGTGTTTCTCCATTGTAAAACAAACAAGAGACACTTATAGAAATTAAAGCCCGTTTCACAAATGATTTGAAGATCCCTCATCCCAATACCCTCTCAGATTTACTAGAGGATTTATTGAGCACTTGGCTCTTCATTCTGAATGTTACTTTCATTGTCCCATCTAATTCTCTCAGCCCAGAGATGCCAGCACTGCCATCATCCCCATTTGCAGATAGGGATGACTAAGTCTTGCCAACAGTCCCATGGGTAAGAGGCAGGCTTCTAGTGCCTTGCTAGAGTCAGATACCATACCAAGCTTGATTTGTGCTGCTTATCACCTGATTCCCTGGTCAAGGCTTGAATTTGCTAGTTTGAATGGTGGTTGTTTTGGTGCTGGGGATTGAACCCAGGGGCTACATTTCCAGCCCTTTTTTTTTTTTTTTTGAGACAGTGTCTTAGTAATTTGTCTACAGCCTCATTAAGTTGACAAGGCTAGCCTCAAACTCACAATCCCCCTTCCCCAGGCTCATGAGTTGCTGGGATTATAGGCAAGCAAGCACCATGTGGATTGTGTTTTTTAAGGATGAGTAAATTGAGCTTGGGAAAATGGGGTTGTTTGCTGGGATGTCAACACCAGGCTTCAGATCTAGATCCTATATTCTTGTTAATCTTACCCCAAATCTCCCAGGATATTGTACCATGAGGGGTGGGGAGAGTTTCTCATTTCCCTCCATCTAAGAAAAGGGGAGGGTAGAATTTTTAGTTTTTACTCTTGGTCTCCTGGAATTTTAAACAGATCATAGAGCCATATTTTCGCAGATGTGGATCCAAGGGATGTGTGGGTAGAGGGAACATGAATAAAGGAATCATTTTCTGTTTTATAAGAAAACAGCACAGGTTGAAAAAGAAGAGTATGGTCTAGGTCCCATAAGGATAATGGGGTTAGGCCTCAGCTTCAGCAGATGTGTCCTCAGGTCAGGTACTTCTTCCCCTGCCCCACCCAGCAGGGCAGCCTGAGTCTGGTCTGCTGTGAATGCTACAGACATCATACAGGTGTGTCTTTCTGAGGGGGTAAGTGATGATTGAGTCATATCTGGTGGGCTTTCTGAGCAGAGGCAACAGAGCTGCATTCTCCCTGAAGTGATCCTTTCTCTACTTTTTGTTTTTGCTATACTGGAATTGAACCCAGCACCATATATGCTAGGGAAGCACTATACTACTGAACTATACCCCTACCTCTTTTTATTGGTTTATTTTGAGACAGGGTCTCACTAAATTGCATAGGCTGAACTTGAACTTGGGATCATCCTGCCTTAGCTTCTTGAGTAGCTGGGATTATAGGTATGTGGTAGCTTTTTGTTGTTGTTGAACAAAAGGCTTGGAGTGGCTTGGAAGACACTGATAGCATAAATGAAGGCTGAGAGACATGACTTGTTTTTGCCCACCATGGCATTGCACATTACCTTGAGGCAAGTAGTGTCTGTTGTGACAGGCACAGTGTGGGCTGGTTACTTTTTGTTTTCTCACAGACTGCTTGCAGAAAGACAACTCTGTGCAGCTGACCAATCAGTACTAGGTTCTTGGGCCTTGATTGGGTGCCATACTCTAAGCCATTCATTGTCCTCACTAAAGGATGAGACAGATCTGTCTGCCAACCTCAAACTGCTCAATTAGGGAGACGACAGTATCAGGTGTGAGGTTGCACTGGCCAGATGAGTCACGGAATAGGTGTGTAAAGGCAAGAATTGTCCCTGCAGGTTCGTGGCTTGGGTTTGTTACCTCAGCAGTATTAGCACTTGGGGCTGGATGATTATGTGTGTGGGGCCATCCTGTGTATTGGGAATGTATGGCAGCATCCCTGGCCTCTCCTGGCTGATACAACTGGTAACCCTTCACCTGCCCAGACAGCTCTTGAGACATGGCAGCTTTCCTTGGGGTGTGTGTTGGGACTTCCTCTGGAGAGCCTAATCAATTAAGAGGAGAACAGCCCCCTAGGTAGAGAAAAGCACAGGAGGAAAAGTATGAAGTAGCATACATGTATGTGTTCCATGCTGAGATAACTGTAGAACTGGAGCCACTGTTCAAGTGGAAAAAACAACCTATCAAATCTGACAATTTTTTTCTGAGGTGACATCTGAGCTGAACTCTGTCCATAGATAAGTGATAAGTGTTGGGACTGGCAAGTACAAAATCCTGAGGGGGGTAAAAGGCTTGGTATGGGAGTGAGGCTGAGCATTGGAGACAGATACAGGGTTGGTGAAACCAGATGGGAAACCATTGGAAAGTTGTAAGTGGGTCAAGACTGTACTTGGTTTCCCACCCCTGGCTGGTTGATGGAAAAGGCAGAGAGCAAGGAGAATGTGGTGTGATGGCAGGTGATGCTGGCTGTGGAGACAGAATTGGGGGGTGCCTGCAGGAAGTTACTGACAAATGTAGATTGGGAATGGCCAGCAAAGAGGGATGGGTGGCTTGGGCCAATGGGGTCAGGAGTCATTCCAGTGCCACTAAGTGAAGCAGCTGGCAGTGGGCAGGACAATGACTTTAGGTGCCCCAGGGCTTCAGGTTATTGGGTGGAACAAGGCCCAGCTGGGGTACGAGTTGAGCACCTTTCCAGCTCTGTTTCCTCCCCTACAGATGATGCCTTTGAGGCCCTGCGCATCGAGCCCTTCTCTAGCCCACCGGAGCTTCCAGACGTGATGAAGCCTCAGGACTCCGGAGGCAGCGCCAATGAACAAGCCGTGCAGTGAGGGCCCCAGGCCCATCCCTGAGGCCCATTCCCCCCAATAAAAGAGATTTGGGTGTCTGCCTGGTTGCTGCCTCTTTCTCCACCCTCTCCCTCCCTATTCCAGGCATTTCCCTCCCTGGGATGGGTCTTGTTCCCCCCACTTCTTTGGGCTCTTAACCAGACTTCTATGTTGACCAGCCTATCCTGGGCTGCCCTGAGAGCCAAATTACTCCCAGCTTTGGAGAGAAGGTCAGAATTCTGAGCCCTAGGCCAGCCCAACTCAGGAGGAGCAAAAGAAATCCAGCCAAGGTGCACTTGCCACCCAATTTCCAGGTGTATTTCCTTCAGTGTTAAGAGTTGGGTCCTACTTCATCATTGCTGCCCCCCAGGGCTTCAGGAGATCCAGGGCAAAGGCCCTGGGGACTTCCAGTCAGGGTGTAAGGTGAAGGTGGTTCTTCCATTTGCTCTCTCACCACTTAAAATAAACAATTTATAGACCCAATTCCTGCATTTCTCATTTTTATTTGACAGAAAAAGTTGCTCTTGCTGTACAGATTTTTAAAAAACCAAAATGCCTTTTAAGAAACATGAAGAAAAATTGGGGGAGGGGGTCACAACCTCATGGGGGGCAGTAGGGGCCAGCTAATTTTTTAACTCCTGCCCCTTCCATCCAAGAACACCTCAACTTCTAAATTCTAAACCATCACCCCCAGGAACTTCAGGCGGCTGCACCTCCCAGGGCCTCTCTGATTCTAGGCCTCAGTGTCTGAACTGTATCCTCTCCTCCCCCAACTCCCATCAGCATTCATTCCCTCCCACCCCCAAACCCCCCCAAACACATGAACCAGGAAAAACTCACAGAGATTAACATTTCACAGGAACAAAGAAAAAAAAAGGGAGGAGGGGGGGAAGGGAGCCCTCCACCCAAGATGCTGCCAGGATTCAAAGGTGGGGGAAGACAAAGACCTCCCACAGCTCTGTTGGGGGACACTCCCTGTGGCTCCAGAGCATGGGGTACGGTGATTTAAGGAGACCTGTGGCAGAAAAGACCAGAATCAATGCCAAAAATCAAGTTTGGCTCCTGTCACCCACCAGAATGGGATACTCTTCAGAGTAGACACACCTGGAGGAGCGATGTCGCATGGGACGGGGGCTAGGAGTTTCCCTCCTGCGCTTATGGCCCGGAGAATGGCTGTCCCCACGCTGGCCTCTCCGGGAAACCCGCTCATTGCTGCTGCAACAAAAAAACATGTCAGACCACTGGGTGGCACCAGCCTCAGACATCCCTGAACCTTGAAACTGGCTTTTCGCTCAAGTCCTGTGCTGGTCATTCAAGACTGTGTTAACCTTTGGGTGGGCCCTACCTCTGCTGGTCCCGTGGTGAGGGCTGAGGTGAGGGACGGCGTCGCTCCACAGGTGAGTAGCTGAGGGACCTCGAGTCCCGAAGGGAATCTATAGGCTTCCGAGGGCTGCGGGACCTGGGGAGCAGAGGAAGCTCCCATAGCACAACGCCCTTCCAAATCCACCAGCCAGCACTCAGAACCACCCACCCAGGTCCTGACCACCAAACCTCACACCACGCAGGGCCAGCCTCAGACCCACCTTTGTCCGCACTCACCCATCCGCCCGCACACCTTCCACTGAGTGCCCACAGTGGGCAGGGCACAGGGTGCAGCGGGGGATGCAAAGATAAAGACAGTCCCTGCCCTTGGAGGAGCTCAGTCTGGTAGTGAAGGAAGGCCAACAAGGGAGGCACGCAGGGCCCCATGTGTAGGAAGCAACCCCACAGGGATGGATGTGCATGGATCTGGGGACTTGGGGCACAGATACATGGGCGGGGCGGGGGCAGGGGCGGGACAATCTTCTCGGAGGTGCTGTTTTGAGTGGAGTCTTGCAGAACGAGGAGTTCACCAGGCGGACAAGGAAATTCCAGGCAGAAGGAACAGCATGTCCAAAGGCATGGGCTCTCCTTGACTGCAAGGCGCTGGGTGTGGCTGGAGCACAGGGCATGTATGGGGGCGGGCAGGAGGAGCACAGGGTGGGCAAGGCCAGCTGGTGAAGAGCCTCACACGCCATTCCCGCAGAGGTGGGGCTTTATCCTGCAGGCCACAGGGCGTCCCGGAAGGATTTGTGGAGTGGAGGGAAGTAACCAGATGTACGTTTTAGAAAGATCCCTCTGGCTACGTGTGGAAGAGAATGGCGTGGAGGCAGGGAGACAGGGAAGAGGCTGTGGACAGAGTCGGGAGAAGATGATGGTGGCCAGACCAGAGCCCTGTAGCAGCAATGGGGAGACTTAAAAGAGCTAGAATCCCTGGGACCAGGCTGCATGTTGGGGAAAAGAAAGAAACCTAGGACTTCCCAGTTCTGGCTTGAGAACCCACTTGGATGGTACAGCCCTTTACCAGAACAGGGTGTAGAGAATAGTGGGCAGAGGAGTGTGCCCGACTCCTCCCTTACAACCAGACACAGAAGTCCACAAGGGGCCCATTCTGGAGAAATCACCCTCCCCTCCATCTCGGGCAAGTCAGGACTCACCTCCGCTCGCCAGGGGGTGGCTTCTTGGGGCTTGCAGGTTTGGGCAAGGCCTGAGGGCCTGGCTTAGCAGGGGAAGGAGAAGAGGAAGAGGAGGAGGATGAAGAGGAGGAGGAGGAGGAAGAGGAGGAAGAAGAGGAAGAGGAGGAGGAGGAGGATGAAGAGGAGGAAGAGGAAGAGGAGGAGCTGGAACTAGAGCTGCTAGAGCGCCTCTTCCGTTTGGCTGGGGCTGGCTCCTGGGGACGTCCCTCTCGGACAGCCTCCTTTGGTGCTGGAGTGGGGCTGGGGACCCTGTGGGAGAAGAGCAGTGTTACAAAGAGACAAGCTGCCCCAGCCCCAACCCTACCTTCCTTGGCCTGGAGGAATGGCAGTGGGGGAGGGGTGCCTGAGAAAGGCCCTGGGAGCTCTCGGAGCAACCTGAAGCCAGCCAGTGAGTGCTTCTCTGGAGATCATTGGCAGGAGCCGACCCAACCTCTGCTAATACAAGCAACAGGCTGGGGCCCGCAGCACAAGGGATCAAGGTTAAACCTCAAGAATGTCCCTGATGAAGGAATAAGGCCCCTGGGCTCAGATGTGGAAGCTGAAGCTGGGTGGTCTCCTTCCTCGGAGAGCCACAGCTTGGGGAGGCCCCTGTGAGTGCAGGTTGGCTTGGGGAGGGGCCGTCCTGCCTGGAGGCAGGGAGAGGGATGGGATGACCTCTGAAGATCCTTCCAGCCCAGGGAGTTCCTCTTGAGGTCTAACTGCCATCCCTCCTGCTGTAAAATTAAGTCCATTTCCTCTAGTTCTGTCCTCTGTAGAGATGGAAAACTTATCATTATCCTCTAGAGAATTAATCTTCTGAGACTTTTTTCTGTCCCATCCCTCCCCACCCATAGCCCCCACCCCAGCATTCTCTTCTACCCCCAGCTTGAGGGTCAAGGTTCCCCATACCTTCTCAAAGAACCAAGAACCTGAGATATGGTTGCTCCCACCCCACTCCCTCATCCATTCCCAATTCCTTTCCCCCTAGAAGATTCCTGAAAATAAAGTTCCCTCACCTCTTCAGTGCCACCTCAGGCTGAGCTGGAAGGCTAGAGCCCTCTGAGTCGCTAGAACTGGAGCCAGAGGAGGAAGATGATGAAGACGACGATGATGATGATGAAGAGGAGCTGGAGGAGCTGGAAGAGGAGGAGGAACTCCGCCGCTCCTTTGCTGGTTGCGGGGTGGCCAACGCAGAAGGTTGCTGGGCCCCAGTAGAGGCAGGTGGCTCCCCACCCTCCAGGTGAGGCACCCCAGGAGTAGGGCCAGAAAGCATGCCATTGTGGTCACCAGTGGAGGACATGGCCTTTGCCACCGTCCCAGAGGAAAGGGACTGAGACCCTGCTACAGAAGTGGTCTGGGCATTTGAACGGGATTGGTCTGAAAAAGCAGATGGCACAGGAGACCTAGGTCGATCCTGTGCTGGAGGGAGAAGAGACTGTGAAGGAGCCTGGATCATTCTGGAGGCAGGGGAGGGAGCCCGCTCAGAGGTCATTCTAGACTGGCTTGGGGCTGATGGTGGTGTTCTAGACCTGGCTCGGTCAAGAAGTGGGGGTGAAGCTCTGCCACTAACACGCTCATAAGCAGAAAGGGGCACCCTGGGGCTGGTAAGGTTTGCACCAGACAATGCTGGGGCCATCCTAGCACTGGTGAGACTCGCAGAGGCCAAGGCTGAAGGGGTTCTAGAACTGGCAATATTCACAGGAGCTGTGGCATGTGCAGATCGTGGACCCACGAGGTTTGCAGGGGCTGGAGCCTGGGGTGTTCTGGAACTAGAGGGATAATTTGCAGCAGATGGAGGCGTGCCAGATCCTGAAAGACTCAAAGCTGCCAAGGCAGCAGGGGTTCTGGCTCCTGCTAGGTTCACAGCTGGAGCTGTGGGGGTCCGAGGGTCAGCAAGATTCACGGCTGAAGGTGCCACTGCAGTTCTGGGGCTGGCCAAGTTCATGGCTGCTGCTGCAGCTGGTGCTCGTGAGTCTGCCAGGTTCACTGCTGTTGGGATAGCAGGTGTCCGGGCACTGGCCAGGTTCATGGCTGCTGCAGAGGCTGCAGGAATCCTGCTAGCAAGATTGGCAGCTGGGGCCGTTCTGAGACTCATGAGAGGTACCGGAGCTGGCACCTGGGACATTCTTGCAGCAAGACCAGCAGCAGACATGGATGGAGGAGGTCGGGCAGTGCCAAGGCTGATAGCTGTCAAGGCAAGTGCAATTCTAGATTGAGCATGATTTTCTGGCACAGATGTTCTTGGATGATCAGGTATTCTGGGACCTGGGCCATCCATCATGGAGCCACCAGCTTGTTGCAGGACAGACATGGGTGTTCTAGCACTGCCAAGGGGTTCAAGCATTCCAGGTGATCTACATCGGTCAAGAGGAGTTGGTGACATGCTAGGACGACTGAAACAGCTCATTCTGGAGCTATTGAGTGCCACTGGAGGTGTCCGAGAACCAGAATGATTCCTTGTTGCTGGAGGAGTAGCAGAACGTGATCGATCAGAACTACTTCCAGATGCAGAACGCCTGCGAATAGCCGGAGGAGATCTTGTTAAAGACCGTTTGCCCCGAGTTGCTCGGGGTGTACGGGACCTAGACCTGCGGCGAATAGCAAGTGGTGAGCGGCTTCGAGAACGTTTGCGTGGCAACAATGGTGTTCGAGACCTAGAGCGGCGTCGAATAGCTGGAGGCGTTCGGGACCTTGAACGGCGACGAGTAACTGGGGAGGTTCGAGATCGGGACCTCCTCCGAGTGACTGGAGATGTTCGTGACCGAGATCGCCTTCGAGTGACTGGGGACGTTCTGGATCTTGATCTTCTGCGAGCAATAGGTGAAGTTCTGCTTCTAGATCGCCTCCTGGTTACTGGTGGGGTCCTAGACCTGGACCTTCTGCGAGTCACTGGTGGAGTTCTAGAACGGGAGCGCCGGCGTGTTGTTGGTGTTCTGGACCTTGAACGACGACGGGTTACAGGTGGTGTTCTGGACCTGGACCGTCTTCGACTCACTGGGGATGCCCTTGACCGAGATCTTCGTCGAGTCACTGATGTTCTGGACCTGGACCGTCTCCGACTCACAGGGGAAGTCCGAGACCTGGATCTACGTCGGCTGAGCAAGGGTGTTCTAGACCTGGATCGCCGGTGAGTTGCTGGAGAGGCTCGAGATCTAGAACGTTTCCATGGGGCTGGTGATGTGCGTGAGCGAGAACGCTTGCGACTGGTTGGGGGTGTTCGAGAGCGGCCTCTTCGACGTCGAGAGGAAGTTCGGGAACTCTCCTGCCGGGCAGGTGATCTGGAGTGGTAACCAGAGCCTCCCCTCCGCCTGCGAGTGACCCGAGACCTGGACCGGCTCCGCTGTCTTCTTCGCGAAGTTGACTGAGAAGACCCAGACCTATCTCGACGTCGGGTTGTTCTGGTTTTCTCCCTACGTGAGCGGGAACGGGACCTCTGGAGTCCACGAGGCTTTGGTGAAGGGGAACGGCCTCTCCTTGAAGTTGTCTTAGTGCGTGGAGATGAAGCTGAACGCCGCCGACGTGAAGACCTTGACTTTTCAGCTGGCTCAGGGGAAGACACTGAGGGACTTCTTCTGCGTCTTGGAGGAGTTCTGGAACGAGTTTCTGGTGAAGAAGAGGCAGAGCGGCTCCTACGGGAGAGTCTGGCCTTCCTGGTTAGCTCAGGAGATGACCGAGAGCTGCGACGTCGAGGTGGTGTGCGAGACTTTGTCTTTGGCTCTGGTGAAGACCTGGAACCTCTTCGAGCAGTTCTGGACTTGGGTGGGTGTTCAGGTGAGGACTCAGAACTGCTGCTTCCTTCAGGAGAAGGTCCTCTGCCTTTGCTTGATGAGCCTGATCTGCTTCTTCTGGGAAGGACCCGAGGGGCAGGTACTTTGGGTTCAGGAGAAGAATCGGAACCACTCTGGGTCCGAGGAGCTGCTCTTGGCTTATCTTTCACTTCAGGAGATGAGCCAGATCTACTGCGCCGAGGAGAAGCTCGGGGTTTGCTGTCAATCTCTGGAGAGGATCCAGAATGACTCCTCTGCCTAAGTGGAGTTCGTGTCTTGGCTTTAGAATCTGGAGAAGAATCTGACTCACTTCTCTCTTGAGGAGATGCACTGGGTTTCCCGTCAAGCTCTTGAGAAGATCCAGATGGACTTCTCTGCCCAAGGGGGGTCCTAGCCACAGTTTTCTGCTCAACTGATGATTCTGATCCACTTCTTTCTCTCTGAGGGGTAAGACACTTGTTGTTGAGCTCTGGGGATGATGGAGAACGACTTCTTGGCCTAGGAGTCTGAGGCAATGCTTTCGGTTCTGGGGAAGAATCACATTCACTCCGCCCCCTAGATGGGGTTCTAGGTATATCTTTCATTCCAGGAGAGGACCCAGACAGGCTGTGCCTAGAGGGAGTCCTGGAACCATCTCTAAGTCCTGGAGAAGACCCAGACCGACTTCTCCTTGATGGAGTTCTGGGTAAACCATCTTTCAGTTCAGGAGAAGATGCAGAACTACTTCTCTCTCTTGAGGGCGTTCTGGGTACAGCATCAAGTACAGGTGAAGATACACTCTGATTTGAAGACATTCCTGCCTTTTCCACCACATCTGGGGATAACTCAGAGCTGCTACGTCTGGAGGATCTTGTTGACTGTTCTTTCATGTCTAGAGATGGGTCTGTCTCCAGCTGATTAAGGAAAGGTCCATTCAAATCTTCTTTAACCTCAGGAGAAAATCCAGTATTCATTTCTGTAGCAGTGCCTGAGTTTCTAAATTCTAAAGGTGATCCAAAGTTATTCTCCCTGGGAGGAGAGTGAGATAGTTCTTTATGCTCTGGAGAAAAATGTGGCGCTCCCCAACAGGAGGCCACTGCAGGAACTTCTTCCAAAGCCATTTGTGACTGACTTTGGTCAAGAGCTAGCCCTTCTTCTACTTCAGGAGATGATTCAAAATTACTTACAGCCATTTGTTTTTGTTCTGGAGACAAATGAGGCAGCACTTGGTTTGAAGGTTGTTCTAATTTCTCTACCACCTCCATTAATTCCTCATCTTGGTTTGACTTAGGTAATGTATTACTTTGGTCTTTTCTATCTGGAGATGATTCATTGACACTTCTTTCCCTTGATGGGGTTCTAGGTGCATCTTTTAGTACTGGTGAGGATTCAGTCCTATCCTGTACAGGTGTACTAAATTTTTCTCTTGGCCTAGGAGATAACACAGCAACATCTTCCTGAAGGGGGAAGACCATTTTCTCTTTTGATTCAGAAGACTCCAATCTGCTCTGTCCCAGAAGAGATTTAGAGTCCAATGCAAGATATGGACAAGAGTCAGACTGGGGCCTGCTCTGCTCAGGAGACATTCCTGATTTCAGCCTAGGACTTGCTGATAATTCACCTCCATCTTGTCTTGTTGGAGATCTAGATGCCAGCTCAGCGACTGGAGATGAGGACCTGGACTCACCACTCTTTGGAAATGTTTGAGATTTGCTCTGCAGAGGTGAAGACTCCAAGTGACTCTGTCTCATTTCTGGACTTGAAGTATCAGATCTGGGGTCTGGTGAAGTTTGAGATTGTCCTTTATGTTGCAGAGATGAGGAGCCAAAGTAGCTTTCTCCTGGTGGTGTGTCAGACGTTACTCCTGGACAGAGTAAGAATGATCCAGAGCAACTCTGTGCTTGAATTTCTTTAGACTTCTCTTGAGGACATGGTGATTTTGACCCAGACTGACTTTGCCCTGGTGGTGTTTGAGGCTTTACTTTGGGGTATGGTGACACAGACCCTGAGTGACTTTGTCTTGGTGGTGTTTCAGGTTTCACTTTGGTATCTGGTGAGGAGGATCTAGAATGGCTCTGTCTAGATTCCACCTTGGTGCAAGGAGACACTGATCTGCTTTGCCTTGGAGGTGTTCTAGAAGTCATCCTACTAGGACTTGGAGAAGAGGAGCCAGAATGGCTTCTTTGTCCTGGTGACATTGCCTTCACTTTGGGCTGTGGAGACAATGACCTAGATGGGGTCTGTCTTGGAGGTGTACTAGACTTCACTCGAGGAGGAGAGGACCCAGAACAGCTGTGCCTTGAAGGAGTCCTAGATTTTACCTCGGGATCAGGTGATGATTCAGAATGGCTCCGTCTTTGTGGTGTTGCAGATTGTTCGATGGTCTGGGGACTTGTGATGGAACCTTGTCTTGGTGGTGTTCCAGATTTCACTTTTGGGTGAGGAGATAAACTGGAATGACTTTGTCTTGATGGTGTTTTAGATTTCTGTTTAGGTGGTGAAGAACCAGAACGACTCCGCCTTGGTGTTCTAGATTTTGCTTTAGGTTGTGATGATCCAGAGCGACTGCGCCTGGGTGGTGTCTGTGACTTTTGTTTAGGGCACGGAGAGGATTCAGAAAGACTGCGCCTCAAAGACAAGCGAGATTTTGCCTTGGATCTTGGTGAAGAGAGAGACCTGCTCCGCCTTGAGGAAATGTGAGATTTTTTCATTTCTGGACTTGAGTTGGACCTGCTCCTCCTCTGAGATGTTCTGGATTTGTTCTTCCGCTCTGATGACGAACCAGACCTGCCTCTTCTTTGTGGTGTCCTAGAGTGAGATCTTCCTCGCCTAACTAGACTTCTACTGCGGGATCTTCGTCTTGCTGGGGTTCTAGACCGAGACCTCCCTCTCCTAGCTGGGGTTCTAGACCGAGACCTCCCTCTCCTAGCTGGGGTTCTAGAGCGTGATCTGCCACTACGTCTACCTGGGGTTCTAGAACGCGATCGGCCCCGTCTAGCTGGGGTTCTAGAACGTGACCGACCACTTCTCCTGGCTGGCGATCTGCTGCGAGATCTCCTTCGTACTGGTGATCGGGTTCTAGACCTGCGCCTAGCAGGTGTTCTTGACCGAGACCTGCCCCTGCGGGCTGGTGTTCTTGACCTGGACCTGCGCCTGGCAGGTGTTCTAGATCGTGACCTCCGCCTGGCAGGTGTTCTTGAGCGGGACCTACCCCGCCGAGCTGGTGTTCTAGAACGTGATCTGCCCCTGGTGGCTGGGGATCTAGAGTGTGATCTGCCTCGCCTTGTTGACCTAGACCTGCCTCTTCGCTGAGTATTTCTGCTCCTGGACCAACCTGGTCGCTGAGGGGACCTAGAGCGGCCACGCCGTTGGGGGCTTCTAGATCTTCCCCACCTCTGTGCAGACCGTGACCTACGCCACTGAGGGGACCGGGAACGAGAATGACCCCTTTTGGTAGGGGTTCGAGACCGTGATCTCCCCCTCTTAGCAGTGGCAGGGCTGCGTGATCTCCCCATCCTACGGGAAGGAGTATGAGAGTGTGATTTATCCCGCTTTGCTCGGCCATGTGACCGATTCTTGGATGTGGGGGAAGAAGAAATCTCTCGGCGGGCACCAGGAGCTGGCGTGGGTTTAGGACTTTCAGGGGAAGAGCTGGCATGTCGAGAAACTTTGGTAGGCTGTGGGGATGGTGGGCAGCTCTCTGAGGAAGAAGACTGAGGTGGTTTCTCAGGAGACTTAGGTGGTGAAGGGCCCCGGGTTGGGGAGGCCTCAGATGGGGGGTTCATTGGCTCCTGACTTAAGGAGGTTGTTGCAAGGGGCTGTGGGGAGCCGCCATGCTGCTCAGCAAGGAGCGGAGTGGGAACAGGTGGTTCTGGGCCTGTGCTGCTCCTTTCCGGAGAGGGGCTAGGTCGAACTGCAGGTTTCTGAGAGTGGAAGAGAAAGTAGGGATAGGGACACATAAGCACCCAAATTTCCTATCACCCAGAAGATCTCAACACCTTTTCAATTAAACTACTTTCACATGCCCCATCATACCCATTGATCCTTTCCCTCACCACAGGCAGTCACATTCATTCAATAATAAAACATCATTAAACACAAAGCACAGTGTGAAAAATGTGAAGATAAGAAAAACTTGTAACTCGAAGTTCTAAAATCTAGAAAATATGTAAATAACTCCTGCACTGCAATTAACAATTAATACTACTACAAAGTAACAGGATGAGCAGTAATTAGGGTGGGGAAATTTTTTTTTTTTTAATGGATGCTGAGAACTCAGAATGTTAAATACTCCCAGATCTCCAAAAGAGCATTTTTAAATGGAGAAAGCAGTTTTCTCAAGCAGGTGGCACTTGACCTCACTGTCAAGAAACTTCTGTATTAAAAAAAAATAGTAAAAACAAAAGCAAAGTACTGGGGCTGTAGCTCAGTGGTAAAGTGCTTGCCTCGCATGTGTAAGGCACTGGATTCAATCCTCAGCACCACATAAAAATAAAGATACTATATGTTCATCTACAACTAAAATAAATATTTTCTAAAAAAGCAAAGTACTGAGAATCCAATCTGTGTGAAGAAAAAAAAATGACAAGGGGCTAGGGATGTAGCTCAATGCAGAGTGTTTGCCTAGCAGGCATAAGGCCCAGAGTGGGGGTGAGGAGTAAAATTAGAAGATTTGACTAGGATGGTTAAAATATAGGAAAACTACAAAAGCCTTTTAGATACCACTCAAATGTCATAGAAGAAAGATGATCACACTCATAATTTGCAAAATTTGCTGAATGAGATATAAAATAGAGAAATTATATTACAATAATTGAAAAAAGGGAAGAAAAAAAAACAAGAGAATACAAAACAACAGGAACTACAGGGACTACCATTCCTTTTAGTGTTTTCGACGTGCTGGCAAAACTTCAGTGGGTTGAAAATTTTATGAAATAAAACATATCTTTAGGGCTGGGGTTGTGGCTCAGTGGTAGAGCACTTGCTTAGCATGTGTGAGGCACTAGGTTCGATTCTCAGCACCACATATAAACAAATGAATAAAATAAAGGTTCATCAACTACAACAACAAAAAAAATAAATTTAAATGTGGCTTAAGGGGCTGGGGTTGTGGCTCAGTGGTAGAACACTCACCCAGCACATGTGAAGCACTGGGTTCAATCCTCAGCACCACATAAAAATAAATAAAAAACAGAGGTATTGTGTCCATCTACTACTAAAATTAAATAAAATAAATGTGGCTTAAAGAGCTGAACGTAGTGGCACACACTGGTATCCCAGCAGCTCGGCAGGAGGATCTCAAGTTCAAAGCCAGCCTCAGCAAAAAGCAAGGTGCTAATAAACAACTCAATGAAACCCTGTCTCTAAATAAACTACAAAATAGGGCTGGGATTCTGGCTCACTGGTGCAGTACCCAAATTCAATCCTGGGTACAAAAACAAACAAAAACAAAAACCAACAGAGGCTTAAACTTGTTAGAATTCTATCCACGCACACACATAAACAAGACACTGCTACAAAATCCACTGCAAACATCTAGTGAATTTTGATTCTAAAGGGTTCAAGATTCGGTGCAGTGCATCACGACTATTAAAATACGTGCAGATGTACGACAATATAAGTAGAAGAACACACACTGGAAAAAAAACACAACTAAATTCACTTCTCTTATTATAAATCTCTCCTGTTCACTCCACAGCCTTATCCTAAAACTCATAACCTAGCAACCCAGTGAACATCCACTACCCTCAGGAACATACCTCCTTCTTGTCTTTGTCCTCATAAGGACTGCTAGGCTGCTTTGTAGAAGTCTCTGGGCTGCTAGGCCGTTGTATACTGGTGGTACCTGGTTCACTAGAAGGCGCATCTCCCTCCCCTCGACGCCCTGGAGCAGGGGAAGGACTTCGCCCAGTCAAAGCAGTTGTATGTATTTTAGCTGCAGCACTTCGAGACCTGTGGGAGTTAATGGAGGATGGGGGAGAGCAGGGAAATCAGCTCAAGGGAGAATAGAAAACCCCCTCCCAGCTCCCATCTACTTTTCCTAACTATACACAGCCCTCTTCCAAAAAGCCTTAGTCACATTTCAAATCATTCACAGAATGCAAATTCAGTCCACTTTGTTTCTTTGCTTCCCAACAAAATCCCAAAGAATGTTCTCCCTCTACCCCTTTATTCACCTCCCCCAAACATCCCCAAACCCTCCACCCAACCCATTCCCTACCCACTTCATTCAAAACTCACCTCTGAGCCCACCTCCTTCAGGAAGCCTTCCCCGATTAAGGAAGCCAGGGTAAGGATTCCTTCCTCCCCCAGACACCACGAACAAACCACCCCCCCTATTCTGGCAGTCCATATACATCATAACGAAACAAAAAAATAACAAATAAAAAAAAAAAAAAAAGAGAAGGGGAAATGTATATGTCTGTCCATCCTGTTGCTTTAGCCTGTCAGCTCCTAGAGGGCAGGGACCGTGTCTTCCGAATGGTCTGTGCAGCGCCTAGCACACCGTGGGCGCTCAATAAATATTAAATTGATTAACCCATCATTCCCTCTCCCTCCCTTCCTTCTGGACTACCCCTTACCGACTGCGAGAAGTGTCAGAGGAGGAAGCAGAATCAGCAGAGGTTGACCGATGGGCCCGGCGACTCTTGGGAGCTGGTGTTGTACTCCGAGACCTGAACGAATACCACCACATATAGCTCAGGAGGCTGTCACACCTACACTGGATTCTACTCACCCATACCTCAACCCTTAACCATTCAGGTACAAGATTAATTATGCCTTCTCCCCCTAAGGGAACCCAATCATCTACTTAGTAATGAAATTCCCCTCAAATTCACTTACCGCTTCCGTTTCTTGTCTTTAGATTTACGTTTACTCTTTGGAGTGGGAGACCTGGGAAATTAAGTGAGAATGTTAAAGACGTATTTATTTATTTTGCAATATGAAGGACTAAACAAAGGGCACTCTACTTGAGCTAGTTCCTGATAAACCCCTCCCCCATCCCCCCACCAAGGCTAAGAGACCTAGTGTTGGATTTGTGATCCTCTCACCCAAGCCTCAAGCTTCTGGGATTACAGGTATGCAAGGCCATACTTGGTCCCTTAACCCTATTAAAATTTTGATACAGGGTCTTGCTAAATTGCTAAAGCTGGCTTTCAACTTGTCATTTTCCTCACTGAGATTCCTGAGTTTCTAGGATTACAAGTATGTGCCACCATGCTTGGCAAAAAAAATACACAAATAACTTTTTTTTTTTTTTTGGTGCTGGGGATTGAACCCAGGGCCTTGTGCATGCAAGGCAAGCACTTTACCAACTGATCTATATTCCCCAGCCCAGAAATAACTAATTTTTAAGGAAAAAAAAAAAGCCTAAAAGTAAAATGGATGGTACTAGAAAGTTTTATTAACAATTAGAACAAGGATTAAGTTTTACTCAGAGATAAAACCTCCCAAAGGCCAAAGAGAAAACAAAGCCATCAAGCAATGTCTCGTAATTCCCATGTGCCACTGTGGGGAGCCATATTGAGTCACCAAGGCCATCAAGCAATAGCTCATAACTCCCATGTGCCACTAAGCCCCTATATGCCAAAGGGCTCTTACCTGTGCTTTCGTTTCTTGGACTCAGATTCCGACCTGTTGGGGGGGGGGGGGAGGAAAAAAAATTATACACCTATACTTAATGCCTGAACTCTATCAGTAATCCTTCTGCAATCACCCAATTACTTCAACTTCATACCTGTGCTTCTTCTTTTTTGAGCTCTTTTTTCTCTCCCGTCGAGGAGAGCTACTCTCTGACCTGCTGAAGATGAGATCAGAAGCAAGGTCATTTTGCTTGGCTTCTTTTCTGAATCTCCTACTTACAACTTTTTTTTTTGAATTTTTTAATATTTATTTTTTAGTTTTCGGCGGACACAACATCTTTGCCTGTATGTGGTGTTGAGGATCAAACCCGGGCCACACACATGCCAGGCGAGCGTGCTACTGCTTGAGCCACATCCCCAGCCTACAATACGTTCTCATAAATGGTTTTCTAACACAATCAAATAACCCCATCAGCATCAACTCCCCAGATCTAATCTAGGTCTAATTTCTTTACTCTCCAAGAAATATAGGTAACTCCTTAAATCAACACATTTAAAAATGAAAACAATTCCAAAAATCCCAACTGGCCAATTCTTAACTGTCAGGGCTACAGACTCAAAACTTCCCCACTAAGAAGCACTGTCAGCTGAGATCTGAAATTATAACTCCCTTCTCCTTGACTTTTTTGAAAACCACTTGCTTGGGCTGGGGATGTGGCTCAAGTGGTAGCGCGCTTGCCTGGCATACATGAGGCCCGGGTTCCATCCTCAGCACCACATACAAACAAAGATGTTGTGTCCGCCAAAAACTAAAAAAAATAAAATATTGAAAAAAAAAAAAAAAGAAAACCACCTGCTGCTCCCAGAAAGCAGAATCCTTGACTTCCAGAGACAAAGTACACCACAGGATTGGCCCTCTGTATAAGAGAATAACTTTCCAATCTACTTACCGTCCTCTGTCTTTCTTCTTTTTCTTCTTCTTTTGCTTTGGGGTCGGTGAACGAGAACTGCTGGACTCCCTAACAAGGCTAGTAAAAGAGAAAAAACACGGGTGCTAAAATAAACTATCTTTAAGACGTTTCAACCTCAAGAATGAAATCTGAAGAGTTTGAGATGGAGTTTACAAAAAAAAGAACAGAGTGCTTAGAACCAGAAGGAAAAATTGATACTAGTTTCTTGGTCTTGAGTACCTGTAAGGTTTGGGAGGCTCGGGAGCTGGTTGTTTAGCTTCTCGAGCACGACGCTGAGGATCAAAAGAGCTGCCATCCACATAGGAATCACTGATGCCAAAGGCAGCTCGGAGCCGCTCATTCTTCTTCTCATTCAATTCTGCCAACTGATGCGTCTCAGTTACCCTAGAGGAAAAAAGGTAGAAATGTGAAGGTTATAGGAAGCAAAGAACAGAGCTAAATTCAGAACAAAATTAAGCAGGAGACAAACAGCCATGGAATAAGGAACATGAAGGCAGAGAGAAGTTCCAAGTAAGGAGGGTGGCAGCAGAGGCAGCAGCAGACAAAGTCCAGGGGGAACCAAGGGAACACTCACGCTGGCCTCTGCCCTGGGGTTTCCTCCTTGCCCCCAGGGTTCACATCCTTCTCCAGCAACATGAGTCGAAAGGTCGCCACTTTCTCTTGGATTTGCTGTTCCTCGTACCTGAAGGACAAATTCCTTCAGGGTTAGAGCTTGACAGGACACTTCCCCAGTCCCAAATTCACATTTCCCTTATTCCCAATGGGGGTCCCACCTTCCCTCTCCATGCACACATAGAACTTTTCACTCACTGTCACCCTAAAATCCTTAAGTCCTGTTCTTTTCCTATCATCTTTCCTTCCTTAATTCCCTATGCCCTCTAGAACAGTGGATTTTAAACATGCTATAATTCAGGAGCCAAGAGAGGAAAGTTAGCTGGCAGAGTTCCCAATGCGCCTCACCAACTTCAACAAGACCCAATCTCTTACTTCCTGGGCTTTCAAAATATAGTATATTGTATTAAAGGGGTGCCATTGATGAAGTTTGAAAACCACTGCTCTAAAAGGTGCCTTAATGTGCTCCTTCTTCAAAATTTCACTTTCCTACCCGCCCATCACACTCTTAATACAGTATTCTACCAATCCTTATTACTCTGGCTTTGCTATTTTCCAAGGCCTCAATCCTTAAAATCCATTTACTTCCTCTTTCCTACCAATGACAACACCTGACAGCTTACCTAGCTCTCCTACCTAACTTCTGCTTTCCCATCTCTCCCTTTCAGCACACTTTTGTTCCTCAATCATCCCCCTTCCCATGTGCATCCATCTAAATAAATAATTCAGACTCTCTGAGGCTCCCATTTAACACCAGACACAGTTTCCTCACCTCCCACTTTGCATTACCCCTTAACTATTTTCAAATCTCTAGTTCATTTACCTCCTCCCCTACAACTCCACTCCAGAACTCTTTCAACCAGCCCTAAACTCCGTAAATCCCACCTAACACCCAGCTCTGCACTCACTCAGTGCTCATCTCTCCCCCAGCCCTCCCCTCACCCCTGCTCTTCCATCATCTCCTCCAGCTCGAGGCATCGCAGCTCCACGCGCCGCTTGCGCTCGTGGTCCAGGATGTCAGGATTAGGCCGCTTCACCAGGGCAGCCTCCAGGCGCCGCAGTTCCTCCTCTCCCTTGTAGTCAGGCCGCTCACCCCGGCGGCCCCGCACCAGGGACAGGTTGCGCTGGACGTAGCCGTTGGTGCCGCTGCCCCGGGGCGTCGGCAGCCCGATCCCGTTGTACATGGCCCTGTGCCCGGGGGCACCACCGCTCCTGAAGGGGAGCGGGGGAGACACGGGTCAGGCCCCTGGCCCCAAACTATCCACTTTCCACCACCCACATCTCTGCTCTCCATCCTCACACTACATCTCCATGAGCTGCATGATACCACCTCATTCTCTTGAACTAACAAGTCCCTTTCATCCTTTCAACCAAATTATAACCCAATTCTTACAGCCTTTTTCTCCCAATATTCTTTCACATTAATCAAAATCATTCCTCTTTGCACCTAGACTTCCTTCTTTTTCCACCCTAGGCCATCAAGGATTCTGTTTCTCTCAAATATCTCCATACTAGCATTTTATTCTTCATTGGAGCCAATACACCTTAAGTAACATCCTCACCAACTACTCTTTAACATCTAACCTCTGGTAACCAACCATCCTCCAAAGTGGACATAATAAACAAAACACACATCTGTTCCTAAGGGCCTACAGTCCATATTGAAAGAAACGTCCCAAGAATTTACCTAAGGACTTCAGACTATCCATAAAAACATAAAATAAACTCAACAATCTCTAAGATATCTGAACAGGTATGCTGCTGTTAACATAAATCAAGTGCCCTATGAAGACTCACATCTAGACTACAACCAGCATACACATCAGAACGCAAGAACCAGGGTGTTACATTTCACCTCCAAAGAAAGAGCCATTTCTTTGATTCCAAATATTCACAACTCTTATCAACTATCCTAATTTTGCACTTTCAATTTCCTTCCCATCAGGATTCACGACTTGCACTCCTCCAAATCTCCGTTAATTATTACCCATTTTCAATTCAATGTTCTAAACATATCAAACCAGCCTCCTGTTTCAACTGCTCCCATAATTTCTCTATGTTACCCTAAACTTATCTAGTAAACCTTCCTCATTTTCATCAATGTCCAGTTTTTGACTTTCCCTATCAATCCCCTGTTGCGTACTTCCTGGGTTTTCTCTCTCAATCCTGCTTTATCCCTCTCACATGTTAACACTATGCCTCCTGTCAGATTCCATCCTCTTGTTTCAACCCAGCATGATTCTGAAAACCCCCAAACCCCAACTTTTCTGGCTAAACTTATTGGCTATTCACACCCTATTCCTTTCTCCTGCCATGTATGGTCCTGTCTCTTCAATGAATCCTCTCGAAGATAGTTTCACAAAACATAAAGGTGAGGGGAAATTACCCCAGGAAAAAAAAACCAAAAACAGGCAAAACAGTTTAGTCTGAAAACAGAATTGAATGAGGGGAAGACCCCATGTAGGAAATTCCAGAAAAGCTAAGTGCAATGGCATACACCTGTAATCCAAGGCACTCAAAAAGGCTCAGGCAGGAGTTAGCAAGTTGTTGTTAAAATTAAAAAAGAACTGGGTGGTCCTATGTTCAATTCCCAGTCCCGTAAATAAATAAGATCACAGAATAAAAAAGCATCATACAAATGCCAGGAAGTAAGATATCAAAATGTGTAAAAAGGAAAAAAATTAAAATATGTAGTGATGTTAATACAAGGGAGCTGTCCAGTTTGTTTCTGTCCCATTCCCAAGCCTGACCAGTCCCTGCCCGAACCCCACAGCAAAAGATTTGAAATAAAAGATAACTATCTCAGGGTAAAGGAATGACAGATAAGGCTAAATTTAGAAAAAGCAAATGGAAATTAAGGAGAAAATGAAAAACTTCTTTTACAGCACAAGAAATCAGTTTATCTACCTTCCAACTCAGTTTAGTTTTCTAAAACCAGTTCTTCCCTAATCTAATCCTAAACCTTGTGTTGTCTCTCCATACCCCACATAATTTCTGCTTTGCAAAAAGCTTCTGACCTGCAATTAATTCTTCAGCCCATTCATTCACCCACACTTCCATACCACCGCACACAAAAATCCTCCCACTCCCTAAAAATGGAAAACCAGTAGCTGCTAAGGAAAGGGTATTAAGTCATAACATTTTGGAGAAATTTTATGGAATAACAAAAAAAAAAGGAACTGGAGGAGGGGGGGAACCACAGCATCGAAGGCGCTCACAAGGGAAATTACTTCAACACAAAACTACCAGACGATTCTTAAAAACTGGAGTGCATGGATTGGATATGCTAAAGTCACTCCAAGAATCTGCATAAAGTAAAAGGAATCTCCAAAAACAAAAGACTTTTTCCTGTTGGAAAGTTACCAGAGTACCCTGAAATCAAACACTAGGACAATCAAGAAAGGAAATGGCACATAAAGGGGGAGAGGACAAGGACCTAGGTAGTACAGCAAGCTCGGCGCTGGGGCGCCGCGGGAGCCGAGCAGACATATGGAATCCAGAAAGCTAAACTGAACTCAGGAATGAACCTAAGCCCACGTTCTTAAGACGAAAGGCAACAGACTGACTGCGTTTCTGGTTCAGAGACATATTAAGAGAACCTAAACGAGGCTCTCTCCGAGAGTTCCGTGCCAAATAACGCCTGACACAAGAGACCATAACCTTAAACTAAGTCGAGAATTTTCTTCCTGCTACGAAAACCTGCTACAGCCTCCCAAGCCCTAGCACAACTTTCGGGGAGAGTGGAGGAGGTGGGAGACGGAGCGCGGGTCTACCTTACGTACACAGACCACACACGCTAACTCGGGGACCCGGGGGCTTTTCTCCAAGGCCTGGCGGCTGACGCGCCGACCCCGCGCAGGCCAGGAGCCTCCCGCCCGCCGCGAGGCCTATTTTTGGCCCGAAGGTGGGGGAGGGGCGGCGCAGCGCCCCGCGGTCTAGAGGCT